GGGGAAAATGCAAAGGGTCGGGTTGGGATGGGCATCACATACTCGATTGGGTGCGTACACCCATCTAACGCTTGATCGCCAAGTCGTCTGATACAACCACCAAAGTGTCGCCTATTCATCCCAAAAGCATACCCCACGAACCGCAACCTCCATGAGGAACAAGATCAACATCAAACACCTTCCCCTGTCCTCCTACCTCTCTCAAAGCAACCATACCTCCAATCCCGGAAACCATCAAGACAACAGACTTTTCAACAACTAACCCCGGATCACACCAAGCTCCTCGCCCCATTTGAAGCTCAAGACCGAACTCAACAATACTCTCCTCTCCCCAGAAAATAATCCAACCATACAGTGTCCATCAGCCGAACCACAAACCTAGCCCAATCAAATTTCTCACGGATCTCACAAAGAAAAAGAAAAAAGAAACCATCCTCGATCCAGCTGCAATACAACGGCCTACACGACCTCCAACCCAAAGAAAACAAACAACAAAAAAGATAAAGGATGAACAGCGCCAGAGCCAGCCCCCTCCCCAAGCGCAGCACATACACGGACCTCGGGAACGCAACTTCAACAATACCCAGGGGCAGGAAATCGCCCCACGTACCTGTTCAGTTCTGGATCTCAAGCATTCAAACCATTCAGTCGCTGGAACTTCCCAATCACTCCACTCGATCCAGCCAAGCAAACACTGTCCCTGCCAGAAGGCCGGGTAAGATTCGGACATGACATGGGGCTTACAGGGCTGGGCTGTGATCATGCGCATTTCTCGGGGTTTGTTTCTGGGGCAGGGGGGGGGGGGGGGTGAAAGAGGGAGGGATTCAGAAACTCCCAGGGTAGTCCGGCAAAACATAGCCTCCCACCCTGTCTTCGGATTGGATATAACACCAAGCACCTTTGCCTCATGAACGGGCGACGACTCGCCCAGGAGAGGGGGGCATGGAGAATGGGAAATGGGAAAGACGGAGCGGCGCAAATCCAGATACAGCTCTAGCTCCTCCTCCTCGTCCGGGACAACAGCAGCACCGTCACCCTTCCCCACCCTTCCTCAAAACCAAAAAAAAGATCCCCAAAATTTCCCTCGATTACCCAGCCGTCCCTGCTGTGTCCAACAGGCGAAGGTCAATGCGCAAATGAAGATTCGGAGAAGTGAAAGGATAAATCGGTCGACGACATTCCTGACCCATTGTCAAGTTGTATGGAATATCATGAAGAGACACTAATCCCATACACCTCACCTACACTGGTATATACAATCATTCCCTCCCTATGACAACATAAAAACCCATAAGCTTGAGAGAGAGAGAGCCATAGTAAATAAAGAAATCATGATTGATTTAGGTATTCAGATCCATTAACAAGCCGCCCCCTTCCACACCTTCGCCCAAGCAAAAGTCTCATTAGACAGGAAAGGAAAGACTGAAGAGACACACTAAAGCCCAACCATACCCTCCCCATGAACCTCCCGACAAAAGACTCAAGACTCAAGACTCCTCCCCCCTCCCAGCCACCGTTAGTAAAATAACAATTCTCCTTGATTATTCCGTCGGATATAAAAAAAAACCTTTTTACTGGAAATAACAATGACGGAGAAAAACAAGTCAAACAGACTACCCGACTCTGACACACACACACAGATGAAACACACACACACACAGATGAAACACCGAAATGAGATAGAAAGCAATGATCGAGAAAGAAAGAAAGAAACCCCGCTTAATGTATAGTAGAATAGTAGTAGCAAGAACATAGAAAAACAAAGCCAGGATTCGGTTCAGATTTCTTCATCATCAGGGTCGTTCCGCAGGTTTTCCTTCTTGGGTCTGCTTGGTCTGCGCGTCATTCTTCCTACTTCTCTTTCACATGATAATTGTGATGGTGGTGGCACACGATTGTTTCAACTAGCTAGCTAGGGGGTAGGTAGGTAGGTAAGATAGACTAGACTAGACGAGGGGAACAGGATTAGGTGTAGACGTTGGAGGGAGGGAGGAGTTTGGCGCCGTAGCGCAGGTCGAGGGAACGAGAGTCGGCCGGGTCGAAGACGGTGGCTTGACGTTGTTCGAGGAAAAGAGCTAGTGATGCCATGAGAATGTGTTTGTGAACAAAGGAAAGAAGGTTCTTACAGGTAATCTTGATGGAGTCGAACCAGCGCGCGGCGTTCTCGTCGCTACCGTCCACCGCCTTAAGAATTCCGGTGTCGGGGCGCGGAGTGGCCTTGGGCGGTAAGCTGCGCATCTTCAACAGCATGTGTAGGATATCCGAGAATCGATCGCCCTGGCTGGCATAGTAGGGAGGGCGCTTATCCAGAGGCCACTGCTGAAACATTAGAATGCCCGAGCGCATCTCAGATGGTGCACAACTTACACGCTGAGCGAAGTTTTCGTCTTCCCATGAGCGGAACAGCCAGCAAGTCCTCTCAACACAGTTCAACAAGATGATCGCTACCAGGAAGGTTTCAAACCAGCCACTCTGCTGGCGCTGCAGCAGTCGTCGCTCCAAATCGTTCATCACCGACTTGCTCAACTGAGACGCACGTTTCTCGGTCGCGGCACGCAACTGGCTGCACAGCAGAGCATACGACTCAGTGTTAGTCACCTCGTCGATAGGTGTACGACCGTCGTCCGAGGGTTGTGCGAGAGAGTGCACCGAGGTAGGCGGAAGAGTTGGGTTGCAGTACGTCTTCCACTGCAGTTCCGAATCCACCAGAATGTGAGTGGCGATCCACAACTCCAACACACGTTCCAACAACAGATCCTACACCTGTTAGCGGCGCAGCTCAGAGATCCAGTGATGGGCGTTGTTTACCTTCTTCTGCTGACTTAGCTCTGCAGCAAGCATCAAAGTGGGCCGCATGAACTCTGAAGTCTCCCGCTCATAGAAGAATGGTGCGGTTTTCTTGATGTACATCTCAATCTTTCCCGGCAAATCATCGGTATCGCTATCCAGCAAATAGAGCTCAGAAAGAGGTCCCTGAAATTGTGGCTCGTCGCCCAGGCCCTGTAGCTGGGGATCAATTGTCGAGGCAGAAGGCTTGTGACCCTGTAGTCCGCTAAATGTGACATAGACCAAGCTCTCCTCAAAGTGAGTAACCTCAATACGACCAGCGTAATGTTCGAACTTGACCTGGTTGCGGATGCTGCTCACATCGTGATAGGCCAGCGTAGCGTGTAAGTCTTCGACAGTTAGCTCCAATCCAGGCATGAACGGGACCACAAAAATACATACTTGCGTTGTAAAGCTCGAATTCTTCCGCAATTCGAGTACGAATGCATGGGTGCTTCCACAGGCGAGCGCTCTCAACGCTGGCACACGTGGTGCAAGGACTGTCTCCGGAGCACTAGGCATAGATTTGTTAGCCGCACGTTGATCGATGTTGGAAGATCAACACATACCGGCTTCTTCAGCATACGACAGCGAATGCAAGCACCCCGCTTTCTGACCTCCTGAACCTCCCGGCGTCGTGCAGCAGAGAACCGACCGCGCACTTTAGGTTTTGTAGGCTTGGTTGAGTTCCCAAACTCGTTCACAAAACCTTTGGCCTGCGAGTTCGGGTTCATCGCAATCGGACGGGGAAAAGATGCGGCGCGCTGGGTAGCAGCAGTCAAGGTGGGATCGTGTTCATGAAGGCTGTCGAAAAGGAGCTGTTCCTGAGTGGATAGCTGCTGGTTCCATGGGGGACTCATCTTAGCAAGTCCATCACCAAGTCCGACGTTGGAGTCCTGGTCCATCGATAGGCCGTGTGGGACCATCTCACTCGCTGAAGCGGCGATCATGGATAGTTGTGACTGGCGCGCGTTGGCAGCCGAGTCAGTTGCAAGAGACGCTTCCGCCATTGCAGGAGATGCGGATGGTTGTGGTTCGGCTGGGGAGCTACCAGGGAGGGAAGGTAGAGACGAGGCGTTGGAGGCAGCTTGTTGAGGGGTCCCTGTGCGGCGAAGACAGTATTAGTGAATGAGAGCGAGCCCAGCAGAAGTGTTACTGAATTCGATGCACACATGAAAATCGCAAAGACTAGAACCAAAATACAACACAAAATGCTTACCAGGCGGCTTCGCATCCTCCTCCACTGTCTCTGGCTGAGTCGGATTGCCCTGGAAGCCTTCGGCCTCGAGGGCAGGATCCACGACGACCGTCTTGCCTCCAACCGTCAACGACTGAGTGTACGCGGGCCCGCCCCGTTTGGTTGAGTCGGAGGCGCCCACCTGTCTCGAGGCCTCGGCCAACACGTTGAGCCCGTCAAAGTTCTGACGAGCTGCTGCAAAGGGCAGATCCCCGGACTTGCCTTTGTTCGGTCCCGTTCCGTCTTTGTTTTGGTCACCGTCGGCAAGATCGGGAAGTTCGTGTAGTCGCAACAAGACGCGTTGACGATCGCGCAAGGGAATGGCTTGACACTTCTTGACGAGATGGTTGGTCAAGCTGTCAATGCGACCCTTGGGAAATTTCTCGCCGCACGCTTTGCAGGTGTGTTGGTAGCGATTGCTGGCGTCCTCGAGCTTCTGGCCGCGAATGAAGAACTCGAGGATCAACTGATTCGGTTTTCTGCCCATTGCGAAAGGCGTGGGTGGGCAGAAGAGACACCAGGATTGTGAATCCGAGGGTCGAAGGAGTCGAGTACAATCTCTCGAGTCACAGACCCTGTTCTGAGGGGGAGGGGGGGGAGGGGTGGGAGGTTAATCACCGTTGTTTTTGAATTTCCTTGAATAGATAGATTTGTGAAAGACCGGCAGTAAATGGGGGACAGAGCCAAAGTGACGCACACAGGGGAAAGCGGACGAGGGGTGGGAGAAGGCGAGCGGATGGCAAAATAGCAGTTGGCCACAATCCCGACCGGCAGAACCCACCACCGGCTCTTGACCGCTCGAAATCAGGTTTCCGTAGGTCAAAAGAGATGGAAGTAGTCGCTACAGAGGCGCGAAGCAGTGGCGATGCAGTGACAGCAATTGCAGAGGGGCAGCAGATGAGAATGAAGGAGAGGAATGGTGTAGGGGAGAAGTGGAGGGAGTGGGATGAAAGGGAATAATGTTACGAGTCGCGGCAAAACACCGACTTTTACACGGGCGGTCTGTCACTGGCCGCCCTCCAAAGTCACGGGTTGGTCGGGTTTCGGTTGGGATGCGCTTCACCGCATGAAAGGCGGTGATGAACTCGGTGAATGGCAATGGGCAATGGGCAATGCACACTGCGAGGAATCAGATTCAGAAGTACTCCGTAGATCCAAGCTGGATCTTGATCCCCGATGGATTTGGTGATGAAAGGAGAAACAGAAACTTGAAGTCGCTCCTCTTGGGTCTGTTCGTCATCAACCACTTCGCTAAGAAACCCTTTTCTTTCTGTGCGACCATTGCTGGCTAATTGGCTGGTCCACCTCCCACACCCAAACACTCCCTAACTGACTGCCTTCTTTCCTCTCTCCGCTTCTCTCTCTCTCTCCGTACTCGGTGGCTGCTCTCCTCACTCTCAACCTTGAACTATGAATTCTAGGGAATTTCGGTGACCGCCTTTTGTTCGGTCTCGGCTCCGAATCAAACTTTGGATGGACAACAAAGTGTAAAATTACTATCTTTTACTACACAAACAGGAGTATACACATAGTGGAATCATTATTACTAGTGGCTACCTCAAGTTCAACGTAAATACAAATCAATGCCAAAAGAACAGAAAAGACAAAAAAGGTTTTCCAAAAAGAGAACCCTCCCCGGCTCCTTCCATCCCAGCCGTCCAGTTCCATATCCACTGCGGGAATTTTGGGCCTCCTCGCTGCTGTTGCCGTGTATGTATGTCAAGCACATACAGCGAAAAGTTCTGACGCACGGAGAGAAGTCGGTCTGGGATGACAAAAAAGCAAATGCATCATCAATGGATCCCCACTGGCAGCTCCGATGTTATCTGTCACCCTGGCTCCCGTCTTGTCCCTACGTGTCTCTTGAGGCAAACCAAACCAAACCAAAAAAATATATTTTGGGCACTTCAGCAGATGCGATGCTCGGGAGGCCGCCAAGGGACTCCCAAAATCTCGAAGATTCGCCGCTCATCGCGTCCTTCGACCAGCCGGCCTGTGGTCAGTTTGACTCGCTGAGGTCCGCGTAGCACGTCGGCGTAAAGCCCTCGCTGGTTCAGCCGCATGCCCTTCTTGCTGGCCAGGAGTCTCTTGCTCCTGTTGAAGATGTCGTTGCCAGTGAAGTAGATCAAAGCTGCTCCGATCTCAGATCCGGGCACGAAAAGCAGGTCGATCCGTCGCCAGAGCCGACCGTTAGGAAGCTTCGAGGCCCCGTGCCACTTGGATCCATCGCCGCGGGAGGTGGCAGCCAGGCTGGTCTGTAGGAAGCCTGCCTGGAAAAGTCCCGGGACGACGGTTTCAATCATGATGGTCCGAATCTGCTCTATCGTAGCGGAGGGCTTGGTGATAATCAGGTCAATGTCGCCTGAAGTGGACGCACCACGTCGGTAGGAACCCCCAATAATGACCTGCATCTCTGGATCAGCCTTTCCCACTGCCTCCCGCACGATCTCTCCATGCACTTCAACCTCGTTCCGTGGAATACGCTGGGCGAAGTCATGATAATGCTCCACGCCCACCCGTTGATTCTGCGTAAGGGGCGCTTTGGTTTTCAGGTCTTCCAGCGACCGGTAGCCTTGAGCAAGCCATCTCGAGGCTTGGGAGACGCCAGCCCCATAGACGCCTAGGAACTCCTGGAGTATCCGATCTTCAGGAGTGCTGTTGGCGTTTTCCAACCGACGCAGGCGATTCGTGAACACAATCTCTTCAATCTTGTCGGCCAGACGTGTGCCAATCCCTGGCAGTGACAAAGCCTGGGATCTGGTGGCAATTTTCTTCGGTTGTTTCCGAAGGGCACTGATCGCCTTGCGATAGGCGAGCGTGCGCCATTGGTCACCTGATCGATCATAGTAGTCCAGCATTTGCTGTAGGACGGCAATGGTCCGATTGTTTGCATTTTCAGCATTGGCCTTTGAATCATGCCTCTGCATGCATACAAAATTCTGTTGCCAGTCAGATTGCGCCTCACCCCTACGTGCGCTCATCTTCCTCTTCTTCGGCTGTGATTCGCCCGAGTCAGACGCCTCGGGATCAGATGTTTCAGCCGTACTTTGCTCATTCTCAGAGTCTAACGGCTACTCTTGATTAGATTGACAATCCAGGCGGGCTTCTTCTGTTGGTCCTTACCAGATCTTTTACAGCCTTTGCTTCTTCGATGAGATCATCCAAGGCATCCCGCTCTCGAACAGGTTCGGAAACAGTATGTAGGCTATTCGAGCACTCAACCACCTGCTCCGCAGTATACAGCTCAGAGGTTTGTTGTTCGGTAGCGTGCCGCCCAGCAGTTTGTCCTTCAGTAGTCTGACTGTGTAGCTCGGTATGCGATTGTGTCTCGTGTTGCTGCTGCTGCTCTCGTCGGCTCGGTTTGATCGATAAGGAATTACCACCTGAGGGTTCGATCACAGGCGAAGAGCCTTTCTCTCCTGCAGGGACAGGTGTACCGCTGACGCGGAACCGAACCTGAGCTGTGTTCAACACAGTGCGAAACTTGACACACTCAGAAGGGTAGCTTTCGTCGACGAGCGCGACAGTGGACTGTGTCCGTGTCAACAGAGAATGGGTCTCACCAGGCCTGTTGTCTGCTTCACCTACCGGAAATGATTCGACACGGAGATGCTTTATGACGTCGTGAAAAGTGATTCCCTTATCCACTATGACATGAGTGACTTGGTCGCCCCAGTTTTCTGCAGCAGAAGCACCGTAATCCTGCGCGCGCTGGATACGCAGGCGTCGAAGGGCTGAGGCACTGTTGTTCGGAAAGAAGACTGAGATACAAACGGGGTAAGCTCGAGAATCCAAGATGAGGACCCGAAAGTGAAGGAAGACCTACAGAAGACAAGACCTTTGAAGATCTGCTGCTCTTCCAGAACGGTCCTGGACGAGCATTGTCGTTTTCCCTTGCCAGAGACAGGCACAGCTTTCTTATTTCGAGGCATCTCTCCCGCTGTCCTTGAGGTGCTCTGCACAGTCACTTCTGTGAGAGTCTCGTCTGACCTTGCAGCAGTAACAACGCAACGAGGGCGTTTCTCACGCTCAGGGCAAGCTTCAAGAGTGGAAGGTGCAATCACTCGGACTTCAGTTTTCGTGACGGTAGACCTAAGCTTCATGACAGCGGATCCCTTATCTCTTAACACTTTCTTGATATTCGAATGAGATCTCAGAGTCATTCGATCTTCCTCGTCCTCGGACAAAGAATCCAGCCGCTCCAAGCCCTCAAAGAAGGCCTTTTTGGCCGCATCCGCGGACGCCATGGTATGGTGGCTGAGGTCCCGACGCCCAGAGCCAGAGACCGTCGAGCCATGAGTAATAGTCTTCTGCGTGACTGCGGCCTAGCAGGCGACAGCAAGGCTCTTAGAAAAAGCACTCTCACTCTCACATTCACATAAATTCAGTCCGAGACCAAAGAGGAATGACCGAGGGATGACACGACCGGCGAGGACAGTCACGCGTAACCCGAACCACGAAAATGCCACCAAGTCACGGGACCTCTGGAAATCAATTAAACTCGGGTGGGCCCCATTCATTCCGACCGAGTCTCCGTAGTGCGGACCGGCAGTTTTGTACAGTACTCCAGCAAGCAACGACTTACAACAAGCATTGCCGCACTGTCTTTTTCTCATTCATCCCACCCAAGAAACATCACAATGTGGAAGCCTAATAGGCTGCTGTCGTCTCTTTCAGACTTGCAAAATGGTCGCTGTCTCAGCTGTCAATTGCGCAAGGCGACTGCGCACCTTGACAGACCTGCGCTGCGGTACTATGCCAGCAGCAGCAACGGCAGCAGCGGCAGCAGCAGCAGCAGCAAACCCTCGCCCACGCCAGCTACAACCAAAGTCCCTTCCAAACCCGTCTACTCTCCAACAGCCTCCAAGATTCCAACCCCAACACCCGGCCAAGACTTCGTGCCTCCACCTCTAGACCGACCCATCGGGTCCCCCGTGCCTCCAAGTGAGGGACAAAACACCGGTGTCGACGAGCGATCATTCGGGCAACGACGAGATGACTTTGTCAACTACGAGAGACACTTGGAAAGGCGGAAACAACTGTACGTTGCCTTTTCCCGGGGCATATACCTCACCTGGTCCATCTCTATACACAATCCTCTTCCCCCGCAAAAAAAAAACCTTACCATTCCACCTAAACCCCCCACCTCCTCTGTACTCCCAAAAGACACAAAATGCATGCAGAAGAGACATAACTAACCACAAACCCCCATCATCACAGAGCCCACCAAGTAGCCAAGCCGTACTTCCGCGAATGGAACAACATGCGCCACCACGAAGGCAAGAGCTTCGTGGCGAACACGCGGCTCTTTAAGCGCGACAAGGCCCTGTACTTCCCCAACATGCGGGGCATCACGCTGGCCTCGAAGCGGCAGCCGCGCGATACGACCCCGCTCTTCCGGGGCCGCATCACCGTGGTCAACATCTTCTCGAGCCTGTGGGCCGAGAACCAGACGTCGACGTTCACGCACCGGGAGAAGAACCCGGGATTGTACGAGGCGTTTCAGGCAGCAGTGGAGGGGTCCTACGACAAGAACATCGTGCAGAAGGTCGACATTAACCTCGAGCAGAACCCGCTCAAAGGGGCGATCGTCAAGATGTTCATGTGGTCGATGCGCCGGAACCTGCCCAGCGCGCAGCACGACAAGTACTTCCTGGTGACCAAGGGCGTGGACGAGCGGCTGCGCGAGACGATCGGCATGATGAACTCCAAGGTCGGGTATGTCTACCTGCTGGACGAGAACTGCCGCATCCGGTGGGCGGGCAGTGGCAACGCCGAGCCGGAGGAGAAGGAGGCGTTGAACAACGGCGTCCGGAAGCTGGCGCAGGAGCGCCGCGTGAGTGTGGAGAGTGAGACACCGGCGGCGGAGTGGGCCAGCGAGCAGAAGGCCGAGCAGGTGAAGAAGGCTAGGGTTGTGATGCCTTGATTTGGGGCAGCCATGATAGCCAAGCATATGGCGGTTGTATGTGTATGTACATATCAAGTAGCATTGGTTGGGGGATGCCGCACTGTAAGATAGATACTAGGTATATGCTAGCACGCAAAAATATCGAGACACCTCTCCCAACACCGAAGAGGGAGATACAAACTATCTCCCCTCTCCTATTAGTATACTCTGTATAGCAAGACAAGAATCAATCCCGAACGCCTTCTCATACCGTCAAATTAATCAAACTCACTCTCAGCCCACCACCACCACCACCCTGCCCATATTTCCGGCCTAGTATACCCCATATCCTCATATCCCACCACCCCAAACCAACCGATCTCCCCTCCCCTCAAAGAAAAATCATCTTAAGAAAAACACCACCAAAAAACACACCCCGACAAACGCCCCCAGAACCACCGCATCCCTCCGCCGCTTATTCCCAATCTTCCCAATCAACGCATTCATCCCGGGCACGGCGCCCGCCGCGCCGACGATGCGCCGATTAATGCTCGCCAGCGTCTCGCGCTGCAGCCCGAAGTTCTCATTGATGGCGTACGCCTGGCTCAGCACGCCGTCGATCATGTTGTGGCTCTCGTCGATGCGGCCGCGCTCCTCGAGCATGTAGTCGGCCTCGGACTGGTTCTGGGAGCGGAAGGCGTCGATGTCGTGGCGGACATGGCTCAGCAGATTGGCGCGGTCGCGGGCCTCGGCGATGGCGGCGGTGATGCGGGCGAACTCGCGGCGGTGGTCGGCGAGGATCTCGCGGTGGCGGGCGAGGTTGTTCTGCTTCAGGGCGGAGGCGGTCAGGGTGGCTTCGCTGTCGAGGAGGCGCGAGAGGTGGGTTATTGTTGTTTCTCGCTTTTTTCGAGGAGTTAGTGGGAGAAGAGGGGGAGGGGATAGGTGGGTTTGCGCACTCGATCGAGGATCTCCTTCAGTTGGGATTCGGTGCGGAGTTCTTCTTCGGATGGGGTGGGGGGTGGTTTGGTTAGGGCGGCGTATTGTGAGTAGGTGTGGAAGAGGGTTTCAGTCTGTTTTGGAGGGTGTTAGATTATGTGTTGTGATGACGAGAATACGTTAGTTTGGATGTGAGAGGGGTGGTACTGTACCTGAGTCTCCAGTGATCGGGCTTGTTGCCGCAGCTGTGCCCAGCCGGTACCGGTTGATGTAGCCATGAATATAGCGAGGTTGACGGATTAATGGGGTATGTGAATCAAGAAGTAAGTAGAACCAGTAAAGTAGTAAGTCATGAATAGTCAGAGAACCTCCGTCCGGCCTGCGGAAACCAAGTTTCTCATCAACATACACACGGGCTGTAGTTGACTTAGTCTAGGTGAGGATAGCTTTCGGAGACTGGACTGGACTGGCCGCCAAGTCAGAGGATGACGCCGCCCTCCGTCCGCAGCGCCAGCGCCGGCGCCGGCGCCGGCGCCGCCCTGTCAAAGTCAGACAGTCCAGGCGCCCAGGCCTACACCGCCCAGACCTACACCGCCCACCGCCCACCGCCCACCATCCACATCTTCTCCCCCCGGCAGCACCAGCCACACATCACGTGCCCGCTTAAGCCGCCGCACACCCAGAAAAAATCAAACCCTAGTCCCACAACGACCATCACCAAATTGACCCGGTCCATCTTCAATCCCCTTCACGTCGACAACCCGTTACGATACCGACACGAAGCCGCCCACCATGGTATGTTGAATTGCTGTTCGAGCTACGAGCACAGGGAACTAATATTTTCCACCAAATAGTCGTCCAAGGTCAAGGCTGGTCAGCTCTGGGGAAAGAGCAAGGATGACCTCACCAAGCAGTTGGAGGAGTTGAAGACCGAGCTCAGCCAGCTCCGTGTCCAGAAGATCGCCAACGGTGCCTCGTCGAAGACCACGAGAATGTGCGTTTGATAGCCCTGTTTTCTGCCCCCCCTTGAGATTTTGCGTGTGTGTGTGTGAGTTTGTGATGCGAGAAATTGCGACCTGTCGGGAAACCCGGAGGGAAAGGAAGAGGATTGGGAAGGGGATTCGAAAATACGGTATACACACCACGACGACAAATCGAGAGCGACTCCGACAACACCGCGGGGAGAAGAACATCAGAAGGAGTCACGATTCAACATGGAAGGAATTCGATCAAGTCAACTACAATCAACCCCCGCATTCGAATCCACCCTGAAGAAGGGACAAGAAAAAACTCGACATCAGACAGGCGCAATAATTCTCAATCTCGCATCGCATTCACAATCCCGACAAAACTCACACAGCACCTCAAAAAACAAAAAAGGAACTGCAGGACTGGAAATGCTGATTGATTCCCCCCCGCAAAAAACAGCCACGACGTTCGCAAGTCGATCGCTCGCGTTCTCACCGTCATCAACGCCAACCAGCGCGCCCAGCTCCGCCTGTTCTACCAGAACAAGAAGTACGCTCCCCTCGACCTCCGCGCCAAGCAGACCCGCGCCATCCGCCGCCGCCTCACCAAGCACGAGGCCACCCTCAAGACCGAGCGCCAGCGCAAGAAGGAGATCCACTTCCCCCAGCGCAAGTACGCTGTTAAGGTACGATATGGCACCATCCACCACCCACCAAGCCAACCTGTTCTTCCCTCGGACGACGAATGGCAACACCACAAAAAAAAAAGCACCCACACTAACTCTTTCTCCGCGTACAGGCTTAAATGTAAAGAAACCTTAAGGGGCAAAGGGATGGAGTTTGTTTTTCTTTGAAGACGGGGGAACACGTCAATTGTTCTGCAAACCAAAAAGACTTGATGATGGAACAAAGGGGCGCGGTTTTGACCTGTGGCAACCTTGTGTGGGAAAGGGGGTCCGGTTAATCCATCTAGGGAAGAAGAGAAAGAAGAAGAAATAAAAAATTTTTATTGAAAAGTGGTTAAATTTTTGTTGTCTTGCGGAAAAAGTAAAGATTGCAAATTAACCATTTGACTATAAAGTTTTTGTTTCTCTTCGGTCTCTCTCTCTCTCTCCCTTCAATGAAAGGCTTTACATGACATGATACCACACACCTTTTCCAAACTTTTATCTTGCTTCAACCGGTAGTAGTAGAGGGTTGTCATTTCCCATGTGTAGAGTAGGATGGTGGCGGGCATTGGTAGTTTCTTCAGATAGTAGACTACGTAGCTGCTCCGCGGCCCCTTCTCATGCTATCAGGATGTCCGTTTCTCTCACCACCCTTATCACGAGTAAAGTCCGACTTCAGATTTAACAGTGCCAAGACAATTGGTCTATGTACACACGCTCGTGACCTAAACTGTCCATACATCATATATCATACCTGAATTCCTTCCCGGGCCTTTACCTGGAGTCCACTGCACATGTCATGTGCACCTCTAGATTTCCGCGGAAGTGAGAAGAAAAGAATTAAGCCCCCATCGGCTTTCCCGCCTCCGACGAGCCAGATCCAGCCTCCAAAATCCACATCCCACAACAAATGCACGCCCGTAAATGTCCCAGTTTGAAGATCATCCGGAACGCCAGCACCGAGCGCGGCGGATACGACCCCTCCGAGACCTCACAGCAACGCACACACCTCCTTCGTAACGGCTGGCCGGGCGCTACCCCCGTCGCCGCATGGCCGTCCTTCGACTTGATCTCACCCAGCGACGGTTGCGCAGTCCCATTTGTGGCGGGGTTCAGCCGGATGGGAATCTTCTTGATGATGTCCAGTCCGCGGGTGCGGCGGTACAGCTCCGTGCGGCGGTCCGAGTCCACCCCAAGCCAGCTGTAGTCACGCATGTAGATATCCATGCGGTTCACGTCGGACCGGAGGCTTGGGATCGTCTGCCGCAGGATGGTGGAGACAGCAGTCACCAGGACCGGCGGAATGCGCGCGTTGACCAGTAACTCCTTCTCGGGGCCGGGGCGTTCTGCGTCGCCAAACCCGGCGCCGTGGTAAGCGTGGCGGACGGCGGAGTCGACGCCGGCGAGGAATTTCTCGTACACGTCGATGGCAGCAGGCGAAGTTTCTACAGCCTGGCAGATCTCCGCGTAATACACGCGAGCGTCGCCCGTGAGCGGGGCATTGGCGTAGCCGGCGTGAATACCGCGCAGGCCACGGCAAATGAAGCGAAGAAAGGCCCGAGACATGCTAGAGAGGAGGATTATGAGGGAGAGAGAGTTGGTGGTTTTGACTGTTATAAGACATTGAGGTTAACTTTCATTCCTAAGACAGGAGTCACCAACTTACGTTTCTGGTTGAAAGCCTCTTGGTCGGAAGATACATCTTCGAATTCGTCGGCAAGATTGAAAAGTTCGTGGAGGATATAAAGTGAAAAGTCAAGGGCCCATTTGGTGTTACCGAGGACCATACGAAGAACATCTATGAGTAGTATATGGTTAGTGAGGATCTCAATTGGGCGCACGGAGTGATCATACCAGGGTCATGGGGCTCTGCTTGAATCCCCTTATTATACTGAAAGAAGAACGGGTAGAGAATGGAGGCGTGGCGCAGTTGGAGGATAAACCACGAGACAGAAGATGCGAAGCCTCGCTGGTGATTTCTACCCTTGTTGCCCAGTGCAGCCTGAATGCTGAGACAACGTGGGATATACGGGTGGTTCATGAGCTTGTCCTGTTCCACGGTGAAGTTGGAATTGATGGGCAGCGCGCGGTAGACTTCGTTGATGAAGGAGGTTTGAGCGTCTGTAATTGTCATTAGTCTCCAACATGGCCATGAAAAGTACAAGAAGGTGACTGACCAGAGGAGAGTTGACGTATTAATATTAATAAGATATCGTCCGTGTTAACTTCACTTCCACATCCACGACAGAATGCCAATGTCAATGAAGCGATAGCTGCTGAGAATTTATCTGAATCATGATATTAGAGCATGAGTCGGTCTGACTTGGTGGAAGGACGTACTCTCGTCGTAGAGACCATTGTCTGCTCCATATGAGTGCTCCATCACCCGAAGCTGGACGTGCCCGCTGCTGTCCAACATAACAGCAGCACAGGCGCTAGGTGAAAAGCTGATATGAAGACCTAAATCTAGTGCTTAGTGATACTCAGTATCGAGGGAAAGAATGAATACTGACCTGGAGTGTCGGGAGAATAGTGGAAACCTGCTTGGGCCAGGCTAGTCACCGTGTTCGCATCATCAACTCCGTTGAATGCAGCCATGGTTTTTGGATCGTAAAAAGAGATCGAGCTGTCATCGTAGGTCACGGCTATCACATTGGCATATTCGATGTGATCTATTGACACGACGTATCTATCACAAAAGATATCGTCTAATCGATTGAGGACAGCCTTGGTCTGGACGTATGTTAGCACTTCTCATTCCCATATTTTCGCTTTTTGCGAGAGACTTGCCTTCATCTGCATGCTATTTCTCTTTGTCGTGACTTCATCGAATTTGGGGTGGAGAGTGAGGGGCGCAGATTCAAGTTGCCATCGTACAATAATACTCGACGGTCCCTGCTGGTGTGGATGGTCAGGGGCGATCTGAGGGAGGATGGAAAATGTTGCAACGATCCACGGGGTTGCAGAGGACCCTGCCGCATTATCAGACGTTGGAAGGATGACGTCCAAGCGGGTGAGACAGTAGAGAGAGTTAGGAAAAGGTTGGTGAAGATTATCGGAAGGATCCCCATTGTTTCGCGCGGGACCAGGAACATTGCAGGAGGTCTCGACCTTACAATGTGCGAAACGAAAGCTGGGAACTGGAAATTGGGGAGGCGTTTGTTTAGGCTGCTGCGCAGGATCATACTGAGGAGGATTCCAGTTGATGTGCACTCGGTAGACACAGATCTTTTGGCAAGCTGAGTACGTGGCAACGAGAATCCCAGTTTGGGTCGCTACCAATGCCGCGTGGGTTAACATCCGGTCCGAGTAACTGGTGTTCTTCAGCTCGGCAGATATCTCGGCCCATTTCCCATCCGGGTTTTGATACAAGAGCTTGATCATTCCAGACCTGGTGATGTAGACTAGCGCAGCCTTGTTGGCTGGGTGGAAGGGACCAATTGGCCGACGACGATATGGCGAATAAGCCCAGCGACCTTGCACTTTGGCGGCTTGATAAAAAGCGTGCACCTGAAGAAGGTTAAGAGCATACTCCAGCAAAGCTTCCTAGGGTACTCACGGAGCGTTGGGTGTTCAACCACAGCATCCCGACTATCTGCGCACTATCGTCGGGTTCCAAGGACGTTGGTCGAAGCCCGTTGACACTGTTGAGCGCTATCGGAATTGAATAGATGGAGAGTCGGCCCGACAGATCAACTACAGCCAACTCAGAGCCAGACTCGTTCCAACTAAGATGCACCAAGGCGGTGCCACCATGGGCTTCCGTGACAGGCAGCAGGGGTGTCTCATCACTGAGCGTCCATTTGCCATCAGTCGGCTGGCACTGAAGATAACGGACATGGACTTTGGACGGATCCTGGGCGACGTAGGCAATGCATCCTAATTTGGACCATGCAATTTTCCTGGTTTGGATGTTAGCTGGCAAAGTCTGAAGATGATCTGCTGTGGGGGTGCGACTCACTGGCAGCAACCGAGCAAGCGCATTTCATCCAAGCGCTCAGCCAGGCCTTTAGTGGAAGTGGTAGATGGCAGGGCCAGCTCCAAGGAGGCAGCAGGCTCCCCGAAGAGATCGTCAACATTGATACCGTCCTCCATCATCAGGGGCATGATGGGGTCGGGGAAAGGTTTGATTAACAGTTATCAAAATGCCTAAAAGGGAGAGCGATATCGCACTGGCCCGGCAGCATAGTTTAAAGCGATGGACCCCGGAAACAGTCACAACGGGGTAGGGTGTTGAAGAACACGACTAGCAGACGCCAGGCAGGGCAAAATTGGGAATTGTTCCAGAGATCAGAGAAGTAAGTGCCTCATAACCTCCCACTCTGCGAAGCTCGTAATCCACCCTTACTCACACACAGGGCGAACAAAAAGCATGAATCCAGACGATGCTCATGATGTTAGTTTCATTTGTAAGTTACTAACTGACTAACTAGTTGGTGGGCGTGGGTGGATCCCCTCCCCGGAGCCCCTTAGTCAGCGTCATGTGAGATCATGTGCTGCCTGCCGTAGCCGGGCCAACGGGCGAGCCAATCAAAACCCTCCCCCACTTCCGATTCACGCGACATCATCAACCCTGATCCAAGTCAAAACGTCTCCATGGATGCATGGATGGATGGATGGATGGATGGATGGATGGATGCAGCTGTGGACAGGGTGTACGAACTACCAGATTATTAGAGATCGCTGCTCCGCAGTAACCATTCTACATGTGCTTTACAACAGATGAACGGAATCTATTAGAGATTGGTCTTTATAAAGTGGACAGCTCTTTGGATGTGGCTGATACTCAGGTAGTGAGATCTGCACCTCAAGACGCGTCTCGGTGTGTTGTTGTTAGGGTCCCAGATCCAAAGGGATCATGTTGGGATATCATCCTGTGTGCTGGGATGGGATCCATGCTATCGAGCTGGAAGTGTTAAGCGGACGCGGGCTAGCTGAAATTGGAAGTTTTAATAACCAGCTGGAGCTCTGAGCAACTTCAATAGACATCACGAAAATCAAAAACATGGGTTGATGACCACCGTCAGTGCCAGAAACATGTTACTTGAAGTTCGATGACTTGTTGATGGACTGCCAGACACAATGCGACCGGGCGACTTTGGGAGGGGGGACAGCAGCAGTTAACCAACCTGGACTATAAAAACTATGCTGGTTCCGCCAATCAGACGAAGTGGAGGAGGAAGTAGACACGGGAGTGTCGAACCGCGATTCTCTTCGCAGCGTAAGAGTCCGGTAACGAGATCAGCCAACACTGTGGAAACACACTCCCGTACTGCGTATGGCTTTACCAGAATTTTCGTTACCCTCTTTTTTCCATCTCTGCCCTGCCCTGTCCGATGATATAATATACATAACTACCGTAGTTATCACAGCCTCGCCATGCAACAACGAGCCAGATAGCATCTATAGAGATACCAACCAACTATAACCGTCAACCCAATTAATTCATACATTCTTCGAAACATACCGACCGTTGCTGTCTTCTCTTAGTTTTCTCTTCTCTGGACTTCCACCCCGCCTTTTACCCACTAAACTCCCGACAGCAACAGCAGCAGCCAGCATTGGCATTGTGCCCTATCTCTCTCTCTCTCTCTTCGACAACTTGGCTCCTCTCCTCTCTCTTTGCCCGTGGGTCAAAATAAACACGCTGCAAGCGAAAAAAAGAGAGGATCTGACCGGCAGCCGGACGGGTGTTCCAGTTCCAATTCCTTCAGCATTTCCAGTTTTCTAGTTCCTTTCCTCCTCTCCTCTTCCTGGCTAGATTTCTTTCTCCTTGTTGTTCCATTCATCTGTTCACCTATTCAGCCACCATCATCCCACTTGACCTCATCATTCTCCCTTGACCCCCAATAGTCACGGGGCTCGAGTGTTCTGTTCTGTTTCTGGTGTCTCGTCCTCGTCCTCTTCCTTCTTCCCTTTCTCCCTTTTCCTCTCTGTTTGAGTCGCTATTCTTTTCTTTCCCCCCCCCTTCTGATTGTTAAATATCTTTACTTCTCCGTGTCTGGTTCCAGGTCGTTTGTCAATTTCTTTCCAACCCCCCCTCCCCCCTCCCTCTCCCCTCCGAACAAAGGAAGACTGGAGGGAATTAAATTCTCTGCTCGGAACCCGCGCCCCTTACCGGTCCTTCCTCGTCTGCAATTGATGTTCCAATTCTCTCATCCGTGCTCGATGCTACTCTCCACGGATCTCTAGTACGAGTACCCGACAACTTCCGTCCCAAAAGCCGTTGCTGTCGACCGGCCACCTTTTTTCGTGTGATTCAACTTTTTGTGTTTCTCTTTGCTCCTCAACCTCCTCCCGGTCTGACCAAATGGCGCCTACTTCACGATCTCGAACCCAGACCAACACCTCCTCCAACACCACCACCTCCTCCTCCTTCAACTCTTCGTGTTCAACACCACACAATCAGCTAGCCTCTCTAGGCATGGATGATGATTCGGATTGTTCGAGCCTGAGCTCAGCTCCCCCCTCTCCGATGACACCACCGGAGTTCTATCCGTCGCCGCCCCCATCGCAGCAAGAAACGGAGGAAGCTAGCAGTGGTAGTGGTAGTGTCAGTGGTAGTGCTGCCGCCCGCAGCCAAGACGACTTGCCGCCCGCTCGGAAGAAGCGTCGGGTGGCCGCCCCTAAGGAACGCTGCACTCAGCATCTTGACCTATCGTCTGGCGCCTCCCTCTCCTATGATCAGCAGCAGTCGCAGATCGATTATCTCGTCAAGACTCTCCGCCGTCATCGCAAAATTGTCGTCATTGCCGGTGCTGGCATTTCCACGTCTGCAGGAAGTATGCAACCTCCCTTGCCCTGATCATCACTCTGCCTCAAAAGAACCCTTCCTATACTTCCTCCCCCCCCCTTCG